ACAATGGGGAACCCCACTGGCTACCTTCCCCCCCGGACTGCATGCTGCACAGGCCACACACTGCATGGTGCAGCCCCTATCACTAAGCCAATGCCTTGTGGGCTATGCCACACCTCTGGTGTCTTCTCCCATCTTCCCATACCCTCCTCACTGCATCTTGTCAATGCTTCAGGTCACCATGAGCCTTCTGGCAATGGTATCCATGCCCCACTGCTCCAGCCCCAATGTTGAGGGGAGGCAACAGAAGCTGGAGGAGGTAGAGGGGGCTGAAGGCTCCTGCAGCAGCAACAGGGGAGTGGTGTGGGGAGGAGCTTCTGATTCTAGGGGCCACAGGGTAAACACTTAGATAATACAGGTGGCCCAGAGGGACCTCCTGACTTGGACAGTCCTGATTTTAGGTGGCAGTTGAAGTATTTAGTCAGTAGTCTGTATCTGTCAGTCTTTCAGTAACCAAGCATCTAGGGTTCTTTCTTAACACATTGATTGACATACCTTTGTATAGGAGATAGATGTATATATACACACACTAAAGCAGTTCAACCTATAGCAGTATCTTGCATCATTTTAGCAAGGTAAAAGTGATCACTTGAAGATCCAGGCTATTTCTGAGAAATAATTGTTTTATGGGTATTTTCTCTGTAGGCAGTCTGTGATTGTCATGGGTATTATTGCTAAATAGACTTTTTAGAAGGCTCAGGGGGTGGATCTACACATACATTCATATGCACAATGGAAAAGGCACTAAACTTGGTACCTCCAGTGAAGTACTAAGTTTAATGTGCATTAGGCTGCTTTTATATGCAGTAGAGCATTTGCATACCTCTTTAGTGACGCTTAATGTGCAGTAGACTGTTTTACTGTGCATTAGCATAATGTCATGTTTTTTATGTGATGTTCTAATGCGCAGTAAAATATTCTACTGCGCATTAAAGCATACATATAGATGAGCCGAGTGTCTCTTTAATTTTAAGTCAGTCTTGCATGGAAAGTTCTACAGGGATGTTCAGATTAGCTATCAGTCTTTATCTGTAGTCTCTTGTTTTGAAAATAGCTTTTTAAATTTTTTTTTTTTTGTTGTGAAGTCATCTACTTGTAATGTTCAGACAGCAGCACTCACTTCTCGGTATATCTCCCCCCCCCCCCC